CATCGAGACCGGGGCCGTGACATGAGTGACCGACCCGAGTAAGTGTCCGTCCAGTGCCCGGGCAGGAATAGGAGGTGTCAAACGGAGGTTCTCCAGTCCCAGTTGGCGTGCCAGCTTGATGTCCATTATGTTGGCTTCGGCGCCAGAATCCACCAGAGCAGCCAGGGTGTGAGTTGAGTCAGAGAGGCGGAGGTGAACTTGCAGCAGGGGTTTGCGGTCGGAGGACTGGATGGTCATTGAGCTCAACCGGACTCCCCCTATGCCCGGTGAGCTTCGGCTTTTAAAGGGCAGGTTACCACACGATGTCCATCACCTCCACAATAGAGGCAGAGGTTTGAGGTGAAGCGGCGCTGGCGCTCTGCAGGAGTGAGAGAGGCTCGCCCAATCTCCATAGGCTCAGACTGATCAAGCTGACTTGGGTGAGTGGCAGTAGATGACAGGAGCCCAGTCGGATCTCTCCGAATGCCGGTAGTTGGTGGACCTTGGCGCCCCCTCTCACGACGACGGGTCTGTATCCTTCTGTCGATCCGGACAGTCAGTGCGATGGCTTCATCAAGAGTGGAAGGCAGTTCATGGGAGACCAACTCGTCCTTGATATAGTCAGCCAAGCTATGGAAGAACGCGTCCACCAACGATGGTGTGTTCCAAGAACTTCGTCTTGCCAGGGTTCGGAAGTCGATGGAATGGTCTGCGACTGTACGTCTGCCTTGTCGAATACTGAACAGTTCACGAGACGCCTCTGCGGTTGGTGAATCCAGGTCAAACACCTTCAGCATCTCCTCAGCAAACAGGTCGAAGGTTGCACATGCGGGGGTTTGACGTTCGAACTCTGCTGTTCCCCAGAGTCGAGCTCGGCCCGTCAGGTGAGTGATGGCATACCCAACTTTAGCCCCCTCCGTGGCGAAGGTCCTTGGCTGCAAGGAGAACTGAAGTCGGCAGCTAGTCAGGAATGGCCGGACCTGGGTAGAATCGCCGTTGAACCGCTCGGGGTTTCCAATCTTGGGTTCCGGAGCAGCGGCTGCAATGACCGGGGCAGGTAACTCGGAGGCAGGGCTGGTGGGCAGACTGCCTGGAACCGGGCCGGTGGGCGGAGTGGCTGGGGTAAGGTTGGTGAGGAGTTGGATGATCATGGCGAGTTGTTGTTGCTGCTGCTGGAACTGCTGCTGGTGCTGCTGGAACTGCTGATGCTGTTGGTGGCCGACCTGAAGCAGAGAGGTGATGTCGCCGCTCATGCGGGCTAGCCCTCTCTCAGTGTGTTCCAGGCGTAGCATGGCAGTGGGTTTCTCAGGTTCGTCGGTTTCCATGTCGGGGGAAGTGTGCGCTGAGTCCATGATGGTCAGATCGTACTGTCACGGTTCAGACAGACGACCAGAGGACCACAATTGCGTCACACCAGAAAGTTTATTAAAACTTAAGGGAAAAGGGAAGTAGGGAGTGAGTGAAGGCTCCAGGGGTAACAGGGATCCCGTCCAATGTGCTGGGTCTGTGCCCCCCCCAGTGGCAGCGATGCGTCCTATGACGCCGGTGGTGGGTGGTCCAGAAGTCCTGGGGGGGGGAACACAGACACAACGGGGCGGATGAAACAAGGCAGCAGTACAGTTCAAGGGAAATCCAAATACGTTGTAGCAAGGCAGAAGGCTGGTCAGAGTTACCGGGATTGAAGAGTAGTCAGGAGTCGTATTGGCAGAAAGCAGGTCTGGTTTTCCTGGGGCAGAAGAGTATCCAAGAATCAGGCAGGTCCGGGGTCACAAAACAAGGGTGAGCCAGAAGCGTGAGCAAACAGGTTCCGGGTGTGAGCTTTGCAGACGATCTGACAAAGGAGAGCTGAAAGACAGGGCTTTAAATACTGGGAGAGGTTAGTGGGTAATGCAGCGCAGCTGGCAGAGTAATTAGAGCAGAGCAGAGCAGGGACAGGTGGAGCTAGTTAGGCTGAGTAGAGAGAGTGGAAGATAGTGGAAACAAATAAAGGTGGTAACCCGGTGGAGTGAGAGGGCTCATGACAGTCTACATAAGGACACAACTCATAAAGATATACACTACCGTTCAAAAGTTTGGGGTCACTTAGAAATGTCCTTGTTTTCAAAAGAAAATTATTTTTTTGTCCATTAAAATAACATAAAATTGATCAGAAATACAGTGTAGACATTGTTATTGTTGTAAATGGCTATTGTAGCTGGAAATGGCTGATTTTTTATGGAATATCTACATAGTACAGAGGCCCATTATCAGCAACCATCAGTCCTGAGATCCAATGGCACGTTGTGTTTGCTAATCCAAGTTTATCATTTGAAAAGGCTAATTGATTAATAGAAAACCCTTTTGCAATTATGTTAGCACAGCTGAAAACTGTTGTGCTCATTAAAGAAGCAATAAAACTGGCCTTCTTGAGACTAGTTGAGTATCTGGAGCATCAGCAATTGTGGGTTCGATTACAGGCTCAAAATGGCCAGAAACAAATAACTTTCTTCTGGAACTCATCAGTCTATTCTTGTTCTGAGAAATGAAGGCTATTCCATGCGAGAAATTGCCAAGAAACTGAAGATCTCGTACAACGCTGTGTACTACTCCCTTCACAGAACAGCGCAAACTGCCTCTAACCAGAATAGAAAGAGGAGTGGGAGGACAAATACATTAGAGTGTCTAGTTTGAAAAACAGGCGCCTCACAGGTCTTCAACTGGCAGCTTCATTAAATACAGTGAGGGAAAAAAGTATTTGATCCCCTGCTGATTTTGTAAGTTTTCCCACTGACAAAGACATAATCAGTCTATAATTTTAATGGTAGGTTTATTTGAACAGTGAGAGACAGAATAACAACAAAAAAATCCAGAAAAACGCATGTAATTTTTTAAATAAATTGTTTGCATTTTAATGAAGGAAATAAGTATTTGACCCCTCTGCAAAACATGACTTAGTACTTGGTGGCAAAACCCTTGTTGGCAATCACAGAGGTCAGACATTTCTTGTAGTTGGCCAACAGGTTTGCACACATCTCAGGAGGGATTTTGTCCCACTCCTCTTTGCAGATCTTCTCCAAGTCATTAGGTTTCGAGGCTGACATTTGGCAACTCGAACCTTCAGCTCCCTCCACAGATTTTCTATGGGATTAAGGTCTGGAGACTGGCTAGGCCACTCCAGGACCTTAATGTCCTTCTTCTTGAGCCACTCTTTTGTTGCCTTAGCCGTGTGTTTTGGGTCATTGTCATGCTGGATTACCCATCCACGACCCATTTTCAATGCCCTTGCTGAGGGAAGGAGGTTCTCACCCAAGATTTGACAGTACATGGCCCCGTCCATCGTCCCTTTGATGCGGTGAAGTTGTCCTGTCCCCTTAGCAGAAAAACACCCCCAAAGCATAATGTTTCCACCTCCATGTTTGACGGTGGGGATGGTGTTCTTGGGCAGCATTCCTCCTCCTCCAAACACGGCGAGTTGAGTTGATGCCAAAGAGCTCGATTTTGGTCTCATCTGACCACAACACTTTCACCTAGTTCTCCTCTGAGTCATTCAGATGTTCATTGGCAAACTTCAGACGGCCCTGTATATGTGCTTTCTTGAGCAGGGGGACCTTGCAGGCACTGCAGGATTTCAGTCCTTCACGGCGTAGTGTGTTACCAATTGTTTTCTTGGTGACTATGGTCCCAGATGCCTTGAGATCATTGACAAGATCCTCCCGTGTAGTTCTCGGCTGATTCCTCACAGTTCTCATGATCATTGCAACTCCACGAGGTGAGATCTTGCATGGAGCCCCAGGCCGAGGGAGATTGAGAATTATTTTGTGTTTCTTCCATTTGCGAATAATCGCACCAACTGTTGTCACCTTCTCACCAAGCTGCTTGGCGATGGTCTTGTAGCCCATTCCAGCCTTGTGTAGGTCTACAATCTTGTCCCTGACATCCTTGGAGAGCTCTTTGGTCTTGGCCATGGTGGAGAGTTTGGAATCTGATTGATTGATTGCTTCTGTGGACAGGTGTCTTTTATACAGGTAATAATCTGAGATTAGGAGCACCCTTTAAGAGTGTGCTCCTAATCTCAGCTCATTACCTGTATAAAAGACACCTGGGAGCCAGAAATCTTTCTGATTGAGAGGGGGTCAAATACTTATTTCCCTCATTAAAATGCAAATCAATTTATAACATTTTTAACATGCGTTTTTCTGGATTTTTTTGTTGTTATTCTGTCTCTCACTGTTCAAATAGACCTACCATTAAAATTATAGACTGATAATTTCTTTGTCAGTGGGCAAACGTACAAAATCAGCAGGGGATCAAATACTTTTTTCCCTCACTGTAGTACCCGCAAAACACCAGTCTCAACGTCAACAGTGAAGAGGCGACTCCGGGATGCTAACCTTTTAGGCAGAGTTGCAAAGAAAAAGCCATATCTCAGACTGCCCATCTTAATCTTTTATTTTTATTGGCCAGTCTGAGATATGGCTTTTTCTTTGCAACTCTGCCTAGAAGGTCAGCATCCCGGAGTCACCTCTTCACTTTTGACGTTGATACTGGTGTTTTGCAGGTACTATTTAATTAAATGAGGACCTGTGAGGCGTCTGTTTCTCAAACTAGACACTCTAATGTATTTGTCTTCTTGCTCAGTTGTGCACCGGGGCCTCCCACTCCTCTTTCTATTCTGGTTAGAGCCAGTTTGCGCTGTTCTGTGAAGGGAGTAGTACACAGCGTTGTACGAGATCTTCAGTTTCTTGGCAATTTCTCGCATGGAATAGCCTTCATTTCTCAGAACAAGAATAGACTGACGAGTTTCAGAAGAAACTTATTTGTTTCTGGATATTTTGAGCCTGTAATCGAACCCACAATTGCTGATGCTCCAGATACTCAACTAGTTTCCAGCTACAATAGCCATTTACAACATTAAAAATGTCTACACTGTATTTCTGATCAATTTGGTGTTCTTTTAATTGACAAAAAATGTGCTTTTCTTTCGAAAACAAGGACATTTCTAAGTGACCCCAAACTTTTGAACGGTAGTGTATATATTTATTGTTTGTACAATTTAATGCATAATAATTTACACAACAGTGGGTTTAAATCATGATTTTTACATGATCGGTGCAAGTATTATATTGTCCTACAGTAACATATTAAGTGGAATGAATAAGCTTTTCTGTGTCCCTGTCTTATAATCGTAGGACCTTGGTTTTGATATACTGACACAGACAAACGGAGGCAGTGGTGCAGTGATTCCTCCTGGAGCGTAGGGGGCGGTGTGTGGAGTTTGGCAGCTTTTCAGACAACAACAGCTTGACATACACTGCACCATAGGTCAGTAAAAGTTGGAGTGCTTTGGCCTGCAAAAAGAGATATGTTTGGATAACATGAACAACAAAAGAGACTTAGTAATACTGTATTGAACACATGCTACAGTCTGTAGGTAGGCTATATCGTAGACAGTGGTGGCTGGAGCCCGTCCTCCAGATTTCTCCCTCCACCAGCCTCCACTGATCTCGAATACCATTTGTTCAACATATTGCACTATAGAAAAATCCTTTAGTGAGCAGTCCAAATCATAACATAAGATTACAAGTATTATTGAAAGCAGTCTCTCTAACTAACCTGAGCTGGTAGTATTTGGTCCGGTACCAAACTGTAGTTAGTGGTGAGTTTGGTGTCCTCCCTCTGGCTGGTTGAGGTGCTGCGTCCAGTCTCCTCATCGTTCACCAAGAGGGGCCTTTCCTCATCAGAACCTTCATTAACACTTGACCCCCCCGCCACAGGGTCAAAGGTCATGACCTCTGTCACCAGGACAAGGTGGGACATTCTCTTATTGAGTCTTTTCTAGGGAGTGAGTGAAAAGTGGGGGTAACCCATTAGATTGCATTGTCTGCTAGTGCTACATAGAAACACTGAATGGTGGTCATCATTACACATCACAAGATTGCCTTACTAGGCAATTGAAGGGCTTTATACACCACATAAAACCCTCTGATAGGCCTAAGACACAATCTGTAATACTCAATGTCTCCTATTGTCAATTTCCAGTTTAATTTCAATTTGCCTCATACAATTCCTTAACAGTACACAGAGATTTGTCAGTATCGATCTACGTAAAACTTCAATTAAATGCAGTCTGAAATAGCCGCCTGTCCCCTTTAATAGCCGGGCGACAGCACACATTTCAGCAAATAAACGCTGCATGTAAATGATTGTTTATGAGGTTACCATGAATTACCTTGAATTGTTAACGAGGTTTAATGTTTGATTTATTACATTAAATAATTCAGTAATGACTCAAAAAATGATGTCAATCTTCAGTTTCTATCACCAGTAAGAAATTGCTAGCCATTGGCTGCTAACAGCTGAGTACTGCTAGCTAACTGGCAAGCACAAAAACAGTCAACAATTTCGAGAGTACAGGGTGTACAAGTGTTTTCCTTAAGGGTATACCTTAAGGAATAATTGTCCCTTACATAAGGGAATTATTTAAGGGCGTTGCTTAGAGCCCACCAAATATTTCCTTAGGTATGGGCATACTTAAGGGGTTTTTACGGTAATTTTAAGGCACATATGGCAGAAAGAGTATTGGGTTACCATGGAGACGGCCTGATTCACTGACTAAACTTCTCATCAAAGAGATCGCTTTAATTTTGTGAGATAGCAAAATAGAACTTCAAGACAGAATAACCAAATTGCTTCAGAAGATAATAAACCATATTTCTTGTAGTTACTTTTCTCTTAACTTGTTTATACTACTTTCTAGTACGTCAAGCTAGCTTACAGAGTAGCTATAGCTAACTAGCCAGCTAGCTTTGTAGATGTGGATTGTGCACCTTCCATTGTTTAGCTAAGTAGCTAGCTGGTTGATGTTTTTCCTTTTGTAACCAGAACAGATGAAAGCAACATTCACCTCCACAAATGCTGTTTACATTGATATCCATACTGAATTAAGCAGTTAAGGGACCTCATGGGTACTCTTAACTTTTTCAGTTAATTTAAGGGGGAAATTCACCTTAAAATGTTTTGTGCAACTGCCTTAAAGTTAAGGAAACTTTAAGGAAAACTGAAGGTGTTTTATGCAACCGGGCCCAGACCCTTAGAAATAGGCAGATTGCCTTCTAGTGGTGAAAGAACTGCCGAAAATGCACAGTCAAAGAGGAGAGTAATTATTCTGTCAAGGAAACATTTTATTGGGAGGGGGGAAATAGAGCCATACTAAGACAAAATAAACCTGACACAGTGTGTAAATGATAACACATTAGTGCAGGAAATGAATAAATTGATTACAATGCTGGAAGTGAATGCTGGAATTAAACAATTAACTATGCAAATGAGCAAAAGCTGTGTGCATTACAGAAATAGATGCCTGGCTCAAATAGAATCTTGTCTCTAATAAGCACCTGTTGTGTTCAGTGATTTAAGCAAATAAACTCCCAGGCTATTAATTGAAGTTTTACGGTATGCATATTATAACCCATCGCCTTCCCGAAACAGCATGGACTGAAAGCCTTGCCAAAGAGAACGCAGACACAAATCAACAGAGTCATAGAGCGAACATGGTGACATCATGATGTACCTACCTGGGCCTCGTCTCTGACAAAGCTCATCTCCTCTAGAGTTTCAGTCAGTGTCCTCAAGCAGCAGGCCGCATCCCAGTACACAATGAACAACTGAGAGGATAAGAGCGAACGAGCGAGAGAGAGCGAGCGAGAGAGAGAGAGAGATTAAAAGAATGACAGAGCGGGACAAAAAGACAGAAAGACAGAAAGACAGATACAGACACAAACACAGACAGTAAGATGGACAGACAGATAATGTAATGGGGACATTTTAGATTACATATTTGGTTTAGAGGGATCAACACAATGTTTAGCATTTTGAGTTTCTGTAATACACGTATTTTCCAGTGTTCCATTTGTGACACTCAAGGTGCCGGTCTATGGTCACTAGACCTGTTATGGATTATTCTCATATCTGTTGATAGTGATTGATGCCAGACTGGAGGTACGAGGACCGAGGACACTGATTATTCACTATTGTATTGTATTAATGGCATTCTGTGGACACTGTGTGATTCTGTAGCAGCTGGCAAAGTCACTGCCTTTTTGTTTTGACTTCATATGTGTCAGAACATTTGGTGCTGTCTGATTAGGATATAAAGGGCCTGTCTCAGAAGCCAGTTAGACATTTTCTCTGCTTCTGTGCTGGGTGGTGTCTCCCTGTTACAACTTATAATAAAACAGATTGATTTTTGATTTACTTTATCTGTGACTGCTCTTCTCTTTTGTTACCCTGGAAATACCTATTACAATGAAACTACACTATCATATCAATACATCGATATATAACTTCAAAGTGCCATAATTGATCGTTCGAGGGATCCGGTTGCAGATTATTATTATTATATTATTCATACCACAACAAAACAGCAAAGGTATTTAGAAGTAACCTCAATTACAAGAAAGGGAGAGTGATAAAAAGGTTTGACACAAAATGTCTGCCTTCTCAGATTGAGCTGCCTGTATGTGCAGGTTACAGTAGCCTACCTGTAGACTTCCAGTACAGTTCTGCACCCAGTCAGCCACGCCCACTAGCAGCTTATGTCGGCTCAGCCTCTCATTCACCTGGATGAGTCGCACGTCAATGTTCATGTTTATCTGTAGGACGACCATTAAACATTACAGGTACATCTACATCTAACGTTTTAGGGTCTTAAAACTGGTTACAGACTATAGTCCAATATCTCTATGGATATTCATTTTTTATATATATATTTTTTTTGTCATTTAGCAGACGCTCTTATCCAGAGCGACTTACATAACGAACCACATTGGTTTCAAAGTGTCTGTGAATATTTTGCTTCAATCCTCTTGAGTGTGGCATATCTATGCAGTGTATTTATTTGCTTCCACAAGCACAGATGTATTCCTATTAATATCTTTGCATTATTTATGTTGCTACCGCAGCTCACTAATTTTAGCACTGCGATTAAAGATTAGATGGCATTTATAAGTGGGCTAACCATTAAGACTCTTAAGTGCTCTCAGACTGATAAACAGATTGAACACCCACCTCCTTGTTACTATAGTGGAGGATGACAATGATGACTGTGGTGAGGAAGATGGAGACCAGACTGACAGACAGGCCGAGGACCCAGTAGTCAGTGACTGAGAGATAGAGGTGAAGAGTGGAGAACACAGCACACCATATCACCACATATAGAATCTGGAAGGGAGATAAAAATGATACACAGTATAAACTAAACATACAAAGAACAAGCACTAACTCTGAACAGATACCGGACACATTAGTATAAGATCTCCTGATGGTGTATAAGATTCACAGATATTGGACACTATAGTGTGAATAATGTAATGGATGTAAAAATGGACCCTTGAGTTATTCATCAATACTTTGAGGGACCCTACCGGTGCCATGATGAAGTGGAAGAGAGAAGAGTTAAGGTACAGGTATCTCCTGACCGAGGGCACGTCCAGTGCTATATCCAGAGGGGTCTCAAAATCTGCTACAGGAATCTACAGTGTAGAAACCAAACATTGAAAACATTGTAATAATGTATTCTAAATGTAATTTTCCATGCAATGGCTTTCATACTTTACCAAAATGCATTCCACATAATAAACAAGATGAGGGAAAAAGATAAGGGGGAAAAAAGAGTGCTTTGATCTGGGTGGTCAAAAGGTTGTAAAAGTGTGTGTGTGCATGCATGCGTGTATGTGTGTGAGTATGATCTTTAACATAAAAATCACTTACTTCACTCGCTGTGTCTGTGTGAATAAACTGTGCTACAAAGGCAGCAGCACTACAGCCATTCCACAAAAGTGGGTATTGCCACGTAACCCTGTGTTTTTATCATAATTTCTGTGCCAAGTTTTGTGCCACAGAGCTTCTTGACAGAACAAAAAGACAGCTGATGCGAGCACACAAACCTTTTGTAGTTCTATGTATAATCCAGAAGCAATAATTTAAGCAACAATTATTTTCAATATAAGGTGTTTATTTAATATTAGGAAAAAAGGGTTTCTTCTCAAGATGGAAGTCCCAGGACAGCCAGGGACAGCCCTTCCATCTTGACGGACAACTGACTAGCAGAGACGCTCTGCGCAGACAAAGGCGTAACCCGTGCTGCAGTCATTATCAATCCACAGCTTTTGATAGTTTGTATTCACACAGTTTTGAGCCTCTCCACCATCAGGGTCTGATTTAAACCAGTCAGTAAAGTCCACCTTGGACCCGTCAGTCCACATCCACCTCCCCTCCCTAACGATGTCAGACAACCCGATCCAGGTGTAGAACTCTAAAGGGTCGAAAGTCTTGATTAGGGTTTTGATGAACTGGTGTTCTGCCTCACTGTGCACAGAGGCCAAGTTTGCTCCCTGAGTCACACAGTAGGACTCAGCGTCTGCCCAGTCCAGTCGTGTGGCAACATACTTATAGCAGCGTCCATTGAAGTCGTACCAGCCCATGTGGCAGGATTTTCGGGATAGCTCTTCACCCTGGTCAGGAGTGTCATGTTCAGCATCCAAAGCAAGGCTGAGGAGAGAGATGGCACAGAAGAACACGAACATGGTTCTGGTTGGGCTGGTAGGCAGGTAGGTGTGCTCGGCTGAAGTGGGTCCTGTCCTTTTATCTGATTTACAGGTAGGCATCATGTCATAGGCGGATCATGTACAGACGTGGCACATTCACTATCTCTGAGTAAATATTAGGCCTACATAAATAAACCTCAACCTTTACTGAAGCTGTTTAATCTGTAGATTTCGCTCCAGAACCTAACAAAAACTAAATTCTAAAAGAAGAAACGAAAATAAGGAAATCAAAAAGTTTAAGAATGTTATTTCTCACTTCCCTCATTAAGGGTGTGTATAAGCTGTGCTCCAAAAGGTCTGATGCTGCGCGACCGAAGGTAATCGCCTTGTTCCGCCCCAGTCCCACCCCCCTGGACACCTTCCCTTCTCCATTCATCATTGAGCGTTGGTTGTTTAGCTGTCGGGAAGAGGTGTCCAGAGAATTCAGCAACGCAGCCACTCTGCTCCAAGTGCATCACTACAGCCATTCTAGATAAGGGGTATTGCCACGTAACCCAGTGGTCATATCAACTCTGCAGCTGTGTTCTTCTCATAATTTCTGTGCCAAGTTTTGGTTCAGGGCTTTTTGACACAAACAAAACATCCCCTGGATGTGATGTTTTAGCCAACAACACATTTTCAACATTAACTGCTGTTCAATTGTCATTCCAATTAATGATATATACTGATTTTTGAAGAACATAACTTAAGAATGCCTCATGAGCTTAGTACACTGGTCTTATCCCATCATAACCTAAAATATAAGGATAGGCCGGGATGCAAACATGGAAACATTGCCTTTGCCAATGCCAGCAGCATACCACCCTGCATCCCACTGCTAGCTTGGCTCTGAAGCTAAGCAGGGTTGGTCCTGAATGGGAGACCAGATGCTGCTGGAAATGGTGTTGGAGGGCCAGTAGGAGGCACTCTTTCCTCTAAGCTAAATAAAATGCCCCAGGGCAGTGATTAGGGACATTGCCATGTGTAAGGCGCTGTCTTTTCGATGGGATGTTAAACTGGTGTCCTGACACTATGTGGTCATTAAAAATCCCATGGCACTTATCGTAAGATTAGAGGTGTTAACCCAAGTGTCCTGGCTAAATTCCCAATCTGGCCCTCATACCATCATGGCCACCTAATCATCCCCAGCTTCCAATTGGCTCATTTCTCCCCCCCTCCTCTCCCCTGTAACAATTCCCCAGGTCATTGCTGTAAATGAGAATGTGTTCTAAGTCAACTTACCTGGTCAAATAAAAGGTGCATGGCTGAAAAGGAGCGATTGGATTGAATCCCGGCCTCACTCATGGTTCATGTTTTGTTGTCATTTAAGGCCTATATCTTCAAAATATGTTTAACTATCATGTTGATCTCATGGAATGTCAGTCATTGCATGCAAAGCTTTATCTATAAATTTAAGAGTGCTGGCATTTCTCCAGCCCTATTCCTCAGCTTAGCAAATAGTGTTTGGGGTACCATTTGCTGGCTCATAAATTCAGGATTGTGGCATTAGCACGGGTCATGTTTTTCTTCATGAAAGCTTTTCGGATTGATAAAATAACAGTAGGCCTATATTTTGGTGAGACAAAAGACAGTCTGAGAGAGGAAGTGAGATAACGAGCTATTCTAGTTTAACCTCCTCACACAAGTGGACATGCTGCTTGACATACCGAGGCACAACGGATGAGAATAAAGAGTGCCAGTGGGCACCCAGAGAGAGAGAGGGAGAGCGAGAGCAAGAGTGTTTGTGTGTGCATGTGCGTGTGTGTGTGTGCATGTGTGCGTGTGCATGCACATGCGTGTGTGTATGCGTGTGTGCACTGACCTGGAAGCCGTCCCTCTCGAGCAGAGCCCTGCAGAGCGACAGATCAAACCTGGGGCTCAGCATGGAGGAGGTGGGTACTGCCAGCACACACTGACCTGTAGGAGAGGAAGAGAGAGAGAGAGATAGACGGAAAGTGAGGTAGAGAGAGAGGGATATATATATATATATATATATATATATATATATATATATATATATATATATATATATATAGAGAGAGAGAGAGAGAGAGAGAGAGAGAGAGAGAGAGAGAGAGAGAGAGAGAGAGAGAGAGAGAGAGAGAGAGAGAGAGAGAGAGAGAGAGAGAGAGGGGGTAGATAGAGGAAGAGGGGGCGGGGAGAGTGTTAAGGTTGACAGTAACACATTCTGACAGAGATTTTAACAGTGATGAAAATTGGAGAGTGATTGAGAGAGTCAAAACAGAGAGAGAATAAAAAAGGTACAGAGGAAAAAGAACATGGGTAAAAGCAGGACATTGTGAAAAGGGTTAGTTTATCCAAAAAACTTGCCAAGAGGCAAAACATAGAACAAGGAAGAGAAACAAAACAAAAACAATGATTTGACAAACAGCATATGCCACATGATCAGACTTATCCATAGTACTATGTTACTACACACCATTCCTCCATCTAGAAGTTCTTCTGTTTTCTGGCTGGATCTTGGATGATCGTCTTAGGTCAACTTCAACATCACTCTCGTCTGAAGGCACAGAAGTCTTGTCCTCCATCTCATCCATGATGACGGGACCCTGAACTAGCAAAAACAGTGATACAGTTTAATCAAAATCCCCAACCATAATTCAGAGGAAATGAGTAAGAGCGTGAATGGCCCTGACTGCCAGTGTGATATACAGTGCACAGCAACACAGTTCCATTAGCCTGGTCCCAGATCTGTTTGTGCTGTCTTGCCAACTCCTACAATGACTATAGGAGTTGGAAAGACAGCACAAAAACATCTGGGACCAGGCTACAGCTTTGTTGCTCAAGCAGAGAGATGCTTTGGCATGATTACAACCCCACTTCCCAGTTCCCATGTGCCGTAGGTTGTCAGAAACAGTATGTGTGTGATGTATACACAGTATTATGAAGTGAGTAATAACACTACAGCTTGCAAGCAGCACATTCCAGTGGATGCAAAACAAACAAAGACATTGAAATTGAGAAAATGAGACAAAATATTCCCTCAGTAGATAATGTTTTCCTGAGGCATAGCTTAAACTGTAATCTCAGGTAAACCAGAACTAAAATCGTGCGTAATTTGGTCGCATACGCAGAATCTGTCCACAAGAGATTCATTATACCGTGACTCTATTGGAGAATAAATGTCAAAGGGCTGAAGCTGAAGCTCGCTTCGAGAGCCCCCCTCTGAGACTGTAAATGTATCTAGCAATTGCATCAAACGCCAAAGCTTAACTTTGGAGAAGTCAGTTAATTAAAACCCTCCCGTTGTCCTAGGGTCAAAATGACCCGCCACTGTGTTGAACCAACTTTATTTAATTTGTATATTTTTTGGATCATTTGTGAGAAGGAGGCAGTGATACTTTCTTTAAAGTCTCACTGCCTCCTTCTCACAAATGATCCCAAAAATATAAAAATTAAATAAAGTTGGTTCAACACAGTGGCGGGTCATTTTGACCCTAGGACAACGGGAGGGTTTTAAGACAAGCACTTGATGTGTCCTATGTTTCGAAAGCAACTGAAAATCACATCACTACTCCTTTTAGAACTGATTACATTGCTTTGCTATGTTATTTCAGCATGTTGGAGAAACCAACAGAATAATTAAACTGTACTGCCAAGGATTTCAGATTCAGCACTTTCAACACAAGTTTAAACAATAATTTAAGTCGTAGACTGAGTAGGCTGTTAAGTAGACTGTTTGACTTTTATTGCACTGTCATACACACGAGTGTAGCGAATGGCAATGCATACTTGTCTTTCAAATGTGATCTTTTCTCTTTTCTCAGGCTACACTCTTCACAGGTTTCTGTTAAAAGTGATTAAACTGTAACACAGTTATAAGATAGACATACTGCACCTCAACAGGGGCTGTCTTCAACGCACCACACACAGCCAAATTATCACTTTCTTTTCAACAGCTACAAATTCTGTGAAAGTGAAAGACAGAAAATGGAGAAGAGACTGAGAGAGCAGCTATATTTTTAGACACTACTTTCTCGTTCTGTTGTTCTTTCTCTCCCTCTCCCATCCTCCCTCTCTCCCTCTGCCGCTTTGTCTTTCTCGTTTGCTTGTTAGAGAGGGAGACACATTTTTTTGCACAAATGCTGTCGGCAAGGTTGATTTCAAGTTCTTCTATCCCTACTGTAGTTCTCTCTCCCCCTCTCCCTCTATCTCTCTCCACCCTCTCTCTCTCTCTCTCTCTCTCTCTCTCTCTCTCTCTCTCTCTCTCTCTCTCTCTCTCTCTCTCTCTCTCTCTCTCAGGCATACACTCTCTTATTCTCACTTCCTCCCTGCTGTAAGTAAGTTGTGACATCTTGCCAACTTTGAAACAGTTTGTCTCTATACGTTTCTGTGTACGTGTCGTAATGAAAAGTGCATGTCTACAACGTTATGCGAATGAGTGTATGTAGCTATGTATAACCATGTGATGTGTGTGCACGTGTGTGCGTGTGTGTCTGTGTATGCAGGTTTTATGACAGTGAATAGCAAAACATTTTAAGCAAGAACCAATCGCTTCCGCTTGGCTGAGTACTCCCCTAGTGTTTCCTCTTTATCTACAGTGGGGGAAAAAAGTATTTAGTCAGCCACCAATTGTGCAAGTTCTCCCACTTAAAAAGATGAGAGAGGCCTGTAATTTTCATCATAGGTACACGTCAACTATGACAGACAAATTGAGGAAAAAAAATCCAGAAAATCACATTGTATGATTTTTTATGAATTTATTTGCAAATTATGGTGGAAAATAAGTATTTGGTCACCTACAAACAAGCAAGATTTCTGGCTCTCACAGACCTGTAACTTCTTCTTTAAGAGGCTCCTCTGTCCTCCACTCGTTACCTGTATTAATGGCACCTGTTTGAACTTGTTATCAGTATAAAAGACACCTGTCCACAACCTCAAACAGTCACACTCCAAACTCCACTATGGCCAAGACCAAAGAGCTGTCAAAGGACACCAGAAACAAAATTGTAGACCTGCACCAGGCTGGGAAGACTGAATCTGCAATAGGTAAGCAGCTTGGTTTGAAGAAATCAACTGTGGGAGCAATTATTAGGAAATGGAAGACATACAAGACCACTGATAATCTCCCTCGATCTGGGGCTCCACGCAAGATCTCACCCCGTGGGGTCAAAATTATCACAAGAACGGTGAGCAAAAATCCCAGAACCACACGGGGGGACCTAGTGAATGACCTGCAGAGAGCTGGGACCAAAGTAACAAAGCCTACTATCAGTAACACACTACGCCACCAGGGACCCAAATCCTGCAGTGCCAGACGTGTCCCCCTGCTTAAGCCAGTACATGTCCAGGCCCATCTGAAGTTTGCTAGAGTGCATTTGGATGATCCAGAAGAGGATTGGGAGAATGTCATATGGTCAGATGAAACTTTTTGGTAAAAACTCAACTCGTCGTGTTTGGAGGACAAAGAATGCTGAGTTGCATCCAAAGAACACCACACCTACTGTGAAGCATGGGGGTGGAAACATCATGCTTTGGGGCTGTTTTTCTGCAAAGGGACCAGGACGACTGATCCGTGTAAAGGAAAGAATGAATGGGGCCATGTATCGTGAGATTTTGAGTGAAAACCTCCTTCCATCAGCAAGGGCATTGAAGATTAAATATGGCTGGGTCTTTCAGCATGACAATGATCCCAAACACACTGCCCGGGCAACGAAGGAGTGGCTTCGTAAGAAGCATTTCAAGGTCCTGGAGTGGCCTAGCCAGTCTCCAGATCTCAACCCCATAGAAAATCTTTGGAGGGAGTTGAAAGTCTGTGTTGCCCAGCGACAGCCCCAAAACATCACTGCTCTAGAGGAGATCTGCATGGAGGAATGGGCCAAAATACCAGCAACAGTGTGTGAAAACCCTGTGAAGACTTACAGAAAACGTTTGACCTGTGTCATTGCCAACAAAGGGTATATAACAAAGTATTGAGAAACTTTTGTTATTGACCAAATACTTATTTTCCACCATAATTTGCAAATAAATTCATTAAAAATCCTACAATGTGATTTTCTGGAATTTTTTTCTCAATATGTCTGTCATAGTTGACGTGTACCTATGATGAAAATTACAGGCCTCTCTCGTCTTTTTAAGTGGGAGAACTTGCACAATTGGTGGCTGACTAAATACTTTTTTTCCCCACTGTATGTCCTCTGTATTCCAAATTCTAGGTATGGTTATTAAAGATAAAAACAATTTCACAGAATGATAATGTTTAGCAGTGACAGTGAGGTGCTGAACATAAAGAAAGACACATGACTAATAGGACAACTCACCAGAGACTATTCAATGTAGAGTCTATTACATGATCAAGAGCTTCCTACCCACCTGCATTCACTCTAATACAGTTACAGCATTTCAACCGTTCTCTAGAAGCTTTAACCCTTTCCTTCACAACCATATGATCCTCTTCCCATCCAACTACACTGCAATGCCTCTGAAACCAGACTCCCCTTGTATTCTTTCATTTACTACCCAGGTGCGGTGCAGGATATACAGTAGGCAGTAGGCAGAGATGGTGAAAACAGGATCTTTACTGGTGGTCCCGAAGCCTAAATACAAAAAAAGGGACTTATCACGATAAAAGAAAGGCGGAGCAAATAAGTCTCCAAAAACCGTCTGACAGCCAAAATATGAAATACTACCTAAGACTGAAACAAATAACGAAACAGGGAGAACACTTCTCAAGTACCTGTACATAGATCTCGGGTGAGGTAGAGGGACGGATGTGACCCCACGACGAGTGCCTCGTCGATATACTCCCTCATGGCCAGGGTCTCCGGCCGGGACAAGGAAAACAATCGCCCTCGTGTGGGCATGGTGCCCGGCAGGATATCGAGGCCTGTGAGGAGGTAGGCCCTTGGCACGCCTCTTACTAAACACCTCCCCCAGATCCCAATACCCGGGGAATGCCTGCCAGGTCTGGGCCGGTGACAGAGTCTGTAGCCGCCGTCCTCCTGGTGGCAACCGCCGCTAGGGCGGTAGGCGGTTCGGAGTGCGGGACCTGGGGAAGAGGTGAGGACTGGTAGGTGGTCTGGGACGGTGGTTTGGGCTGATGAGCGGTCGGTGAAGACCGGAACAGGATGGGGGCGGAGCCTCCCTCATTAACACATCAGGTTTCCCGCGGCCCCAGAATCCATCAGTGCATGCGCCCGACGCGCAGCGCGGGCCCACTGAACCCTGACGGGGAGAAAGGTCTGGGAGTTTCTGGAGTTGGGGTTTCGGTTCCAGCTCGATAGCACCCCTCCCAAATACTAACGAGCCCTCCCGTTTCCCGGCTACTCCGGGCATAGTTGCAGTGGTGACCATCCTGGCCTCAGTACAGGAAACGTCCCTGGCGCAGACGCCGATTGTCTACCTGCACTGAGAGTTCGACGAGTCCTCCAATAGCCCCTGGGCGTAAAGGACGACCAGGGCAGCCTCCTCCCATCCTGCCTCTCGAGCCCGGGTCCGGAACTCCACGGAGTAGTCCGCCAACGAACGGTCAACCTGCCGACAGGCCATGAGCCGCCTCCCGGCCTCGTGCCACGACACCACCCGAGAGGTGTCGAACACCTTGCGTAGC